TCCAGGGAAAACACAAAGTGAATTCATGGAGAGGTATCTGGAACCTGAGCTAGTGCATCCTTCCCAGGACCAGCCTCACTGGGAAAGGACAAGCTGGAGGGTGGGGCTCCGGTGAGAGTGGTCTTCTCAGCATATTTTGCCTACCTGTGGAGACTAGGCCACATTGGGGGGACTCTGAGAGGCTCAGCACTGAGTTACAGCATCCAGCTTAGAAACCTGGGTAGATGCTGGCCCATTTCTACTTCTGCTGGGTAGGAGGAGTTGGACCTTAAACGATAATACCAACGATGCCTGACCTTTCTCTGGACCTTCACAGTTTGCAAAGCTCAACGCAAATTCAATCCATTCATATTATCCCAGACAAGGGCTCTTTTATAGAAAAAGGTTTGGGGGCACTGACTGGGACAGAGGTCTAAGGCCATGTATCCCCTGAAGTGAACTGGCTGGCAGGTGGGATGCTCTTAAGACCCACTTGGTACACAGCATACAGTGACATATGTGCTGGGAGTGGGAGCTCTTCTCCAGCATTGGGCTATAAAGCTGCCCCTGTGACCTTGGAGAACCAGGGGAAAATTATTTAATGGTTACAATGTGATGAGCCAGAGAGAAGGCAGCGGAACACTCTAGCCCAGTCAGGACTGAGTTCTTGAAAACTGCTTCCAATCGAGCCTCAGAAATGAGCCTAGGCCTCAGGATTTTAAAGGTTGGGGAATGCCCCCAGGAAAGGAGGGCAGCGAGCTGCTTCTTCTTGGGGAAGGGATATTGGGTAGTAGGATCCTACAGGACCTCACTTCTCAGTTTAAACCCACATAATTCTGGAATGATCTTGATACATAGTCTAGAGAGCTATGATTCTCAGCCCCAGCTGCAACATCAGAATTTCCTGGTGCTAATGTAGAATAATACAGATGCTCAACTCAACAAGAGTCTCCAAGAGTGAGGCCAGAATAATGGCAAGTTAGAAGAGTTCCAGGTGACTCCAATGTGTAGCCAGTGTTGAGAACCACTTCTGTAGGGCAAACAAGAAGTCAATAGGATGTGCCTGGAAAAACAGGCCTCTAGTATATGGAATAAAATATTGAGGTAAAGCCTAAAAACAGAACTTTAGCTAACTGTTCATAAACTTTGTCTATGCAGCATGAACACTGATTTATTTTGAGAGGTCTAGAGCAGAGGACACAAACTGGAAAAAAAAAAAGAGAAGAACAGTAAGGTTCTTGGCACTCCCTTTGCAGCTACAACGGAAGAAGGAAAGCCGTGGGCATCTGTGACAAGAACACGTCAAAGCTGAAAGAGGCCGGGTCAGAGTAATGGTTCATAACAGGGCTCTGGAGTCCCCAGCGGCCTCAAGTTCTGCCTCGAAGGCTTACGAACTCTGAGATACTGGGGAAGTTTCTTGGCCCCTCTGAGGGTCAGTTTTCCCACCTGTAAAATGGGGATGATCACATGAGTGCTGCCTCTCAAACTGCTGCTAGGTTAAAATGGATGGATGGATGTCATGCATTTGGTGCCTTAGGAAGTGCCCAGTAAATGTTAGTATTGGCAGGGCAGGATTATTTTTCCCATAACAATTTTCCTTTAAGATTATGATACTGATTTTATGACAAAATAAAACCTCAGGTCCAAGGGGACAGAATACATGAATTTGTACTGCTCCCCTCTGTCCAACATGAATAGAGTAAGTAGTAAAGAGGAAAGTCTTGGTTTCTCAGATCAACCCCCTAGCTCTGACTGGTCACCTGGAAAAAGTGTGCTCGGAACGAGGAGTATGGAAAGAGAGGGACTGTGGTGGAGGAGCAAAGCTGTAATAATGCTTAGAAAATGAGTATGTTCTCCATATGTGAGACTCTATAATTTCAACGCCGTAAACGTAGAGAGGGGAGGGGCCCCGGGAAGGCCTGTTGCTGCCATGCTTTGACATCTCCCCCTACTCTGTGTGCACGTCCTCCCCTCCACAAGTGAACCATGCAAACTCTTGTCTTCCCCCGAGTGTCACTCCAGCCAGCTCATTAGAACCTCATCTTCTGGGCAGACCATGTATCCGTGGCCTCAAAAGTGTCCTGCAAGGGCGGAGCTGGGACTTGCTGGCTGGAAGCGGCTGGACACACATACGGCTCTGGTTATAGCTCCCAAGGAGGAAAGTCCAGACTCCTGGCCCTGTTGGCTAGTGATCTCAACACCCTGGGAAGGCACAGGCTTCACCTGGGAGTGCCACTGCCCTGAAGACCTAATGGGGTACCGTGGGAGGAGGACTGGAAGGTAGAGAGGAGGGATGTTTTTTCTGATGCTTCAGTTGTTTGTCACAAGAAGGGCCAGGTGCTTTGCAGTCATGAGTAGGTGATGCCTGTTTTCTGAAATCAGGAAGAACAAAGAAAGAGGGGACTCAAGTGTCCCTCAATTTGCTCTGTATAAACCCCCTTGTTGGGTGGGGTGACTGGTGCAACAGGAAGTGAAAGGTGTGGTTGTAACACGCCCACAGAACACTGAGCTGGGACTGGCCTGTGTGCTCCTAGATGCTACATCTGCCTTCACCTGTCCATGCTGTCCCCACCCCCATACACACCAGACTGGTGGCTGCATAGGACTAAGAAGCCCCTGTGGGCAGACAGGAGATGGACAGAGCTCACGGTATGAAGACAACACAGCATGACGGGCACATACAGACACTGTTGTGTTTGGTAGGAATGAATTATGGCCCAAACTCCCAGGGCTGGGCTCTCAGGCTGAACCGAGCATTCGTTTAGGAACAGAGTCTGTGCTGCTTGAGTGGAAATCCCACTCCATATCCAGTAGTCTAGACATTCAAATTTGAGGACCCTGGGTGCATACTATAAGGATTCAGAAGAAGGCCAGCCATCTTTGGTCAAGAGGCCAGAATAAGCACTTCTGAACTGAGCACAGATGGTGCCTTTCTGGTGTCAGTGGTGGGGTAAAGCATGACTCACTGGGAAAGCGAGGCCACAGTGGGACAGACGAGAGGAATCACAGGCCAGGGCTGGGGTGGGGTAGGGTGAAAGGTAATGGAGAAGTGACACTCACCGGTGGCCCAGGCCTGCCGTCCAAACCTGAAGCTCCCTGGACAAAGGGAATAGTTTGACCAAAAGAAGGGGAAGGGAGGAACGGGAGGGAGAAAAAGGGACCAGGGAGGGAAGAGGTGAGTGAAGCAGTGACTCTGGACAGACATAAATGCTGGTAATCAAACAAAACGGGAGAAGTAAGCTTGGGAGGACAGGTAATGGTATTCACATGGAAACCAACAAAAACATGGAGACACTGAATGCAGTGTGGCTGACTGCTGAGCAAGCTGGATGGAGATCAGTGCACATGGCTGTTCTGATCCTCTCTGTCCTTGTTCCCCTCTCTCCTTTTATCCCCTTTCAGAAATCCCTCTCCCAAGGGGTTGCAGTGATCCAGGGAAAGGGACACAAAGTGAATTCATGGAGAGGTATCTGGAACCTGAGCTAGTGCATCCTTCCCAGGACCAGCCTCACTGGGAAAGGACAAGCTGGAGGGTGGGGCTCCGGTGAGAGTGGTCTTCTCAGCATATTTTGCCTACCTGTGGAGACTAGGCCACATTGGGGGGACTCTGAGAGGCTCAGCACTGAGTTACAGCATCCAGCTTAGAAACCTGGGTAGATGCTGGCCCATTTCTACTTCTGCTGGGTAGGAGGAGTTGGACCTTAAACGATAATACCAACGATGCCTGACCTTTCTCTGGACCTTCACAGTTTGCAAAGCTCAACGCAAATTCAATCCATTCATATTATCCCAGACAAGGGCTCTTTTATAGAAAAAGGTTTGGGGGCACTGACTGGGACAGAGGTCTAAGGCCATGTATCCCCTGAAGTGAACTGGCTGGCAGGTGGGATGCTCTTAAGACCCACTTGGTACACAGCATACAGTGACATATGTGCTGGGAGTGGGAGCTCTTCTCCAGCGTTGGGCTATAAAGCTGCCCCTGTGACCTTGGAGAACCAGGGGAAAATTATTTAATGGTTACAATGTGATGAGCCAGAGAGAAGGCAGCGGAACACTCTAGCCCAGTCAGGACTGAGTTCTTGAAAAGTGCTTCCAATCGAGCCTCAGAAATGAGCCTAGGCCTCAGGATTTTAAAGGTTGGGGAATGCCCCCAGGAAAGGAGGGCAGCGAGCTGCTTCTTCTTGGGGAAGGAGTATTGGGTAGTAGGATCCTACAGGACCTCACTTCTCAGTTTTAAACCCACATAATTCTGGAATGATCTTGATACATAGTCTAGAGAGCTATGATTCTCAGCCCCAGCTGCAACATCAGAATTTCCTGGTGCTAATGTAGAATAATACAGATGCTCAACTCAACAAGAGTCTCCAAGAGTGAGGCCAGAATAATGGCAAGTTAGAAGAGTTCCAGGTGACTCCAATGTGTAGCCAGTGTTGAGAACCACTTCTGTAGGGCAAACAAGAAGTCAATAGGATGTGCCTGGAAAAACAGGCCTCTAGTATATGGAATAAAATATTGAGGTAAAGCCTAAAAACAGAACTTTAGCTAACTGTTCATAAACTTTGTCTATGCAGCATGAACACTGATTTATTTTGAGAGGTCTAGAGCAGAGGACACAAACTGGAGGTTTTTAGGCCCTATGTGGGCCACTAACATATTTTGTACGGTTGGCAGTGTTGCAAGTAATTTTGATTTAATGTCAGAAGACGGAGAGATTTCATGTAAAATGCCAAATGTCCCGCTTCCTTTGAAAAATTAGAAGATCCAAATGTATTGGACCTTCATTCTCCCAAGGCAACAGTCAGCTGAACTGAGAAGGGCTGTTTTCCTTAAGAAGGGACACATGTTCTCTGTGGTGCCACAGTCCCCACCACTCCCTCTTGGCTCTCTGAAGTCCATGTTAATTGCCATTTATGAATTGGCTTGGTCCCTTGATTTCTTAAGCTAGCAAAAGTATTTCTTGTCACCCATGTCTCTATTAAAAGTAGAAAAAGTAAAGATAGACTGGGTACTTTGTTTTTCCTCTGGCATTACCTGTTTGGTCTCTGTGCCATTTGCACTTCAACCTGACCGAATTCTCCAGGTTTACTAGGGTTGTTGGGGCCATGGAGGTGGAAAAGGAGCGATTTGTGGTTGAGTGGGGGCAGGAAGGCTCTATAATAGTAAGGAGGACTTAATCATTCCAGACACAATTTAAGACATGGGAAAATGTCTGCTAAAGTCATCAGTTTTCTGTAGTCTGCCAAGCGAATCAGCTTCTTAAACGTTCCTACATTTGATGCACTAATGAGGGTGCAGTCATACCTTTTGCTCTGGCTTTTTGGTTGCTGTGATTACATTAACCAGACCTTCAGGCTCTGCCAAGCTGGGGTAATTGGCCTTCCCATTGTTCCCCTGCTCTTTATGGCTTCCTGGGGTGGAAACTGGCCTGGTGCCTGGGACAGAGGAAGCCCCAGTGGCTGGAAAGAGCCCCTCAGTGGAGGAGCAGCCTCTGGCCCAGCCTGGTCACCAACTTCATGTGTGACCTCAAGTGACTCACTTTCTTTTCTGGGTCCATCAGTAAAACGATTAGATGGTTCACTGAAATCCCTTCCGGCTTTTGAAAAACAAACCAAAAGGAGTGCCAACCTCACTGGGGTGTGAGGGAAGATGGAGCCCAGGGTGGTGGGATGTGCTCAGCTGGACAAGGTGACCAGGCCATCAGCCCACTGAAACTTGGGGGAAAAATATTTGCTCAGCCCAGTCCCCACATCTGGAAAGGCCTTCTGAGCAGCCCCCGGCCCTACCCTGAGGCCTGTAGCCCTGGGCAGGCAGAGATAAGAGATCTCAGAGAACCGAGATCTAAGTGGCCTTAGCCAGTGGGGACCAGGGAATCTGACTTTTTATAAGCTTTTTGCAGTGGCCAGTGCTCTAGAGCAGAGAGCAGGGGTCCTCTTGGGGTCCCTCTGGGAAAACAGAAGAGAGATGGAGCAGGCTCCACTGTCTCATTGCTCCCAAGTCATCCAAGCATGGCCCCCGTAAGGGCAAACTCTGATTGCCTCTGAACTGGGCACATGTAGAGCCTGAGGCTGTTTTCAGGCCTCCTCTGGCTCTCCAACTGGGTGCTCTTTGGGGTCAGGGACCCTGTCTTATTCATTTTTGCATTCCCCTGCATCTAGGCCAGGGCCTGGCCCAGAGGAGGCCTCAGTACGAGAATTAGAGCCTATCATCTTGCCCAGGTGGGAAAGCAAAACCACACAAAAGCTCTAGAATGCTCAGAACTTTAGAACCTTGAGTCTTCCAGAGGCCGTCTCCTGGGGCCCTCCCCAGCATCTTGTCAGGACCACCAGGCTGGGTCTTGCTGGGTCCACGGTACTTACGGGTAATCCCAAAGGACCTCGGTCTCCTTTTTCTCCTTGGACACCCTTCTCTCCTTTTGCTCCATCTTGTCCTGCTTCCCCCTGAGAAAAGGGAGATGGAGGAGATCACAGAAGGGCATGTCTCACACAACTCATTCTTCCATTTTGATGTCCTGGAAATGGGAGCGGGTATAGGGGAGGAGGCAGGTAGAGGAGGGAGGAGGTGAAGGTAGCTGGCCAAGGGGTAGCAGGCTGGGGACTCCAAGAATCCCTGAATTTTAGCTTCGCTCTGCCTCAGCTTGAGTCTCTTGTATCCCTGTAGCAACTTAGAGGTCCCCAAAGGGAAAAGAGATGGTGGCATAGACAAAAACCCACAGGACAGTTCCACGTCAGGCTTTGGCATAGTTGGCTCTTTGCATGGCAGGAAAACTGGGACCCTGCAGAGACTGGTGGCAGATGCCTGAAATGGCACCACTGGAGCTCTGAACTTCCAAACTAACAGGAAGAAAAAACTGCCCAATAGTCCCTTGAAGAATGTTAGGGCAAGAGACAAGAGCCATTGTCATGCTAGCAGCCTCCATACCCTCTGATCCATTTGAAATGCTTTCAGGGGGATATTGGGAGGGCCCCAGTTCAGAGTCCAGTGGGCTTGGTTTCCAGGAAGGGTTTCATGCCATGCTGCTCTCTGTCTCCCACCTATACTTCGGGGGCAGGTTACATGGGAAAGGATTTTTTCATTTGCTAAGCATCTAACCTGTTACTCTGTAGGGTCAACTGATGAATGGGAAAATTCTAAATCTAAAACCTGCCCAGTGTCAGTGATGGACTTCATTCTGTCCTTATCATACCACACGGGCCAATGTGTCACATGATTTCATTTAGGGAAGGGGTCAGCTGGGCCACCCACCTCTGAAGCACTTTCTCTCATCTCTGCCCTGGCTGACGCAGTCCCCTTCCCCGCTACCTCACCCAGCACCTGCCACATGACTTCTTCTTACCTTTGGTCCAGGAATACCTTGGAGGCCCTGTATTAGGAATCAAAACAGAGTGCCTTAGAATTGCATTTCTGGTTAAGTCAAAAAATTCTTGCCTACAGGTTAGGCCACAAAAGAGCAAGGGCTTGGGATGCAGAGCCTGGCCTGGGGTCCCAGTCCAGGGGAAGTAGAGGGAATACAAAGAGGGGTAGTGCTTAGGGTTCCGTGGGATAGGGTCTGAGCCAGGCTTTCCCAGCCAGGGGCTGACAGAGAGTCTTTCTGCGGCCCTCACGGCTGACCCAGGGTATCATGAAAGGAAGACTCAGAGGAAACACAGCAAAAGTTGAATAAATTAATAGATGCAAAGTGCTTAAAGACGTATCTGGCACATAGAAAGTTACAATAAATGTTGGCTACTATCATTATTATTACTAATTCTACCAATGACAGTGGGTGACACAGTGCCACAGGAACCATGAACCCCGCAAAGGCAAGGACCAGCATTTATTTGTTTAAGATGTTTGGGAGCCCTCTAGGTGCAATGCAAAAGGGTTCCTTTAAAAGCTTTATCTTAGCACTGGTGCCCATGGAAAGGCCCATCCAGTGGGGCTGGTTTTAAATGGGTCACTTTCTATTTTAATCTTGCTCTTCTTGCTGGCTGCTTAGCAGGAAGAAAGGAGAGGAGGAGTAGATGTCTGATGGCAAAGAGCGGAGCTTAGTGACAGAGCGATTCTTGCAGGGCTGTGGGACCAGACCCCTGGGCTGCCATGCCCATCAACTGTTTTCCGGATGATGGGCAATGTCCAGGCTTCTCTGTGTCACTGAAATGGTGCTTGTTTAACATGGGAAAAGGAGTAGGGAGGGGTTTTTGGATGAGAAAATCCCACCCTGGGAGGAGGAGGTGACAGTGACCTAAAACTGAGGTTGAGCCTAGTGACTACCATGGGGAGGGGACATTAAACACCCAATCACAGTGGACTAAAACACTGACAAGCTCTCCAAACTTACCGGAGTTCCAGGAGGCCCCTCTGGCCCTGGCAGCCCAGGAACCTAGAAGCCAAAGGGAGACAGTTAGCCCACCCCTATTATACTCTAAGTGGTCTTACCTTCTGACATGGCCCAGGTCTGGCTGGGCACTACCAGGCCGGAAGACAGAACTGCCCAGCAGTCTCCCAAAAGAAGGCTCAGAATGCATCACAAACTCATAGCAACTCATTAGCCTTTACAATGTTGGAAAAAAAAAGATATTGCCAGGAAATGTCCTATTCTCCCAGATTTCTTTTTGAAAAAACCAGGAAATCCAGCAACGCTAGGTTGTAGTCCATGCACAGTGACAACTGCCTGGAGCTGAGTGAGAGCTTTCCCTTCCAGGTGAAGAGATCTGCAGTTTACCCCAGTCCCAGTCACTCCCTATTGTCTTTAACCTGGACCTTTGTGCTCATTTGTTGTTCGCCTGGCCCTTGCAGTCATTTGAATTTGAGACCTTTGGCTTAGAGGAGCAGATGGCTATCTGGAATGGGGAGGGGCTGAGATATTGCTGAAGAATATTCCTCAAGTCCACCTAGGTTGGTAATGGAGACTGCTGGTCTCTGTTTCCTCTGAGGGCAGGTTAAAGTAGAAGAGATTTGAACTGGAGAGTGAGCACGGGGAACCCATGGCAATTTTCCTCTCTATGAAGGAGGATGTTCATTGCAGATTCTGTCTCTGATAAAGATGGAGATCCATCTGTCTACAGTCAGCCATTCAAGAGGCAGGAAAGAGACCAGACTGCTCCTCTCTGAGCTGGTCACCCCGATGCAGGTCAGGGCAAATCCCTCCTCTTCCCAAGTGGGGACTCAAGTCCTGCACTGAGAGAGGGAGGGTCTTTGACTGTGCGCTGGAAGGAATTCAAGTGCATGCCAGAGTTAGAGACAAAAGGAAAGTTTATTAGAGAAGGAATAATGCTCCACAGACAGAGCATGGTCTCCTCTCAGAGACAGAGAATGGAACAACGAGAGAGGCCCTCAGTATTGGGGAATTCAATTTACATGTTCTTCTTTGTTTCTATGAATTACTGTTTAAAGACTTTGTTTACCTACTTTCTTTTGATGGTATGGATATGTAGCTTGAAAGATGGATATGCAGCCTAAAAGGCATGCTAGCAATCCCAGCCTTTGATCTATAGGTTCCTTATGGTCTGGCCTCAGGGAATGAATGGTTGGGTTTATTTTGTGTGGGGTACAGCTTAAAGACAGTTTTCCTGTTTTCCTTTCATGGCGTGGGTAAATCGTTTGTTAGTAATCCCA